TGGGAACCTTTACTTCACTCCCAGCTTCAAAAGGTTGCCAGCATAGCAGGTGTTTATAGTCTCTAAGAGGCCCATTTATCTCACAGGGCTTGGACATACATTGTACCCAGTGTCAGAACTGTGGGATGATAGTCATGGGTACTCTCCTGAATCACTTATTCACAGTGTAGGCCAATTCTTGGACATAGCCCTTTGAACAATCTTGGGTACCAACATCCTTCAGAGGAACCTAATGAATCAAAAACTTAATTACAATCTGACACTGACATACTAACAGGAAATGCTTTCCGGAGACGCAGAACTAAAAGGAACATAAGGAAGTCTGAGGACATAAAATTCAAGAGTCGTTATGGAATAAACATGGCTGTGAATTCTGGGAAGGGTTAAACATGTGACTCAGTCTCTTTCCTCTCTGTGGAAGAGAAGTGACATTTGAAATAGCTCTTCTTTCCCAGCTTGGCAAAGCTCTGCCTTTGGAAGATGTCTCCCAATTTCTCAGAAGTGTAACCTGCCCTCCTTGAGAGCCCTGGCAAGCAAATTAGTATTTTAGTTTTCCTTCGTAGCCATCTGTGTTCTCCTTCCCACTCTCCAGCAACCCACATCTGTCTCACCTCAGACACTGCGAGTGTTTTTACTTTTTAAAATTGAAGATATTTGAAAGTGATTGCACAGGGATCGTCCTATGTCTTTAGGCCACTCTTATTTGTTCTTGAAATGGCACACTGTTATCAGTAACTGATGCCATGAGAGACACACATGTGAGGCTGAATTGGTACAATATGTTCCACACAAGCATGAAGACCTGCTCAACCCCAGAGACTCACATTAAAGCAAAACCTGGATGTTCCTGTGATCTCAGCCCTGGAGGAGTAGACACAGGAGGATTCCCTGGGGACTTGTTCGCCAGCCAGTCTATCCAAATCTGGAAATCCCCAGTTCAGTGAAAGATCCTGCCTCAAAACATAAAGCAGGTGGACCACCCCCACCATCATCATCATCATCATCATCACCATCACCATCATCATGAGAGGCAGCAGCAGCAGAGACTGGGCAATGTTCTGGAAATATAAAGCTTCTGGCACTTTCCCAAACCCTGAGCTGGGAAGAAGTGGATGAATACTCAGGCTAAAGAAGCCCCCCAGTCATGTCTCATCTGAGACTTCCTACCTTCTCTCCCACCAATAAGGCTCCTGCCTATCTTCCCAGGAGCACAGCAGTTTTTAATCCATATTTATTGAACATTAAATGAGCAAATGAATAAATTTACACACTACATGTTGTATAATAAATCTTAACTCTGGTCTCACGCCCTCAGCAGGAAGTACCTGTCTTAGTTAACACCGGTCACCCTCCACAATATCCCCAAATGACCCCGTGGGGCTGCTGGTCATTTGAACCATCCTTCCCCCTGATTGAGTAACACTGGAGTATTCAATGCACAATGGGACTCGGAAGACTTGGTGAAAAGAAAGCAATATACACTGTATTAATCTTTGAGCTGATTATAAGTTGAAATAAACAACCAAAAATTAAGGTAGAGAGTGATTGATGAGAACACTCAATGTCATACTCCAGTGTACACCAACATGTGACACCCTGTACACTCACACACACACACACACACACACACACACACACACACACAGCAGTTTTGTTTGGAGAAATTCAATTAATGGTCAAGATGTGAGGGATTACCAAAAGTCCAGGGCTGGAAGAACAAAACTGTTTACTCTCAGGCACCTCAGAAATGTCCAAAATTAGCCATGGGTTTTATTTCTTGTCAGAGTATTTCTGTATTAATTAGGGATTCTAGGCTGTGACAGAACATAATAACCAGAAAGGACTTGGGGAGCAAAAGGATTATTTCAGCTTACAATTCTCAGGTCACACTATATAACCAAGGGATGTTAGGGCAGGAACTCGAGACAGAAACTTTAAGGCAGGCACTGAAGCAGACAGTATGGAGGAACACTGCTTTAAGGTTTGTTCTCCATGGCTTGTTCAGTCTATTAAGGGTTGTCACCACCTGCCCAGGGATGTCACCAACCCTAGCGGGCTGTGGCCTTCCACGTCAAGAAAATGATCTACAGACTTACCAGTAGGCCAATCTGATAGAGGTATTTTCTCAGTTGTGGTTCTGTCTTCTCAGATAATTCTATCTTGTGTCAAGCTGGAAAAAAATCAACCAATCAGCAAACAAAATAAAAATACCAACCAGGGCACTTTCCAAACACCATGTGGTCCCATTTCTCTGCTGTTTTTGTTTGTGCTGCTGTCACACACCTTGAACTCCCAAAGTTACAGACTAGAAGAAGACATGAAACTCTCTTCTATCTTGGAGAACCCAACCCTCATGCAGGAAGATAGGTAAGTGACTCAGTATCCAAGAGCCAAAATGTATACCAGCTGTATGGCTCAATGGGTCTAATTTCTACTCCTTTCCTCAGACCTGTGTTCTCAGTAGAACAACCATATCAGTATCACCCTGTCAACATGAGGTGGGGCCTTTCTGTTATTTCTGAAAGTGAATGGTAGGGTTCTGTTGGAAGAAAAGTCCTTTTTAGAGCCTTCAGACCAAGTATATCAGCATTTAGATTCAGGAAATTTTTAATGAGTGTTCTTGGAGAGGACAGATAGCCTTCAACTGTGATTCTGATAGACTGGTGCTATCTTCTAATGAGTCCTAGGCAGACAAGCTTGTCTCAGCCATTTTTGTTCCCTTTCTTCTCAATTCTTTGAGAAATGATTGATTGGAAATTTATTCGCAGAGATGAAAAAGACTGACACACTTTTGCTTCCTATTTTATGTTACTTTTCCAGTCCTTTGATTTGCAAGTAGAATTTCAGCTGTGTCATACTGGCTCCGACTGTGGCTACTTCATGCTCAATCAGCGATGTGGTTTAAGAGCAGGGGTGCACAACAAAAAAATGTAAATTGATATACTGTGGTCCTCCGCCATCAAACATCCTTTGTTAACATCCTCATTTTCCATTAAATGAGCTATTGTTGCTGTAAGTCAGTGGCTCCAGTACAGAATTTGTAGCACAATAAACAAAGTGCAAAATGTATGTAATGAGGGCTGCCTCTAATTTCCCTTAATTGCTCATTGAGTTACAGCCAGCACGACCCTGACACCAACATTACTTCCTCAATACACAGCCTTGATGTACAGCAAATTTTTCTTCCATGACAGGTTTATTTCTTTGTTGAAGAATAGTTTAAGAGATATTTCATTGTGTGTTGCAACGATGTAATTGGGCTCTGGCTGGTTCTCACTTAATAGGTATGGTAATAATTATGTGTCACTTTTTAGTATATGGGCTCCTCATTCCTCTCCAGGTTGATTGCTTTATCTAGGAGCCATCGAATGGAGCGGCTCTAAAACGACATCTGTGGGAAGATGAACTGTAGATTTATTTCTCTATCTAAGCTCCAGGCTCTGGCTTATTCAGAGAAAAATGGTAACTTCCTATCAAATAAGCAAAAAAATAAGAAGAAAAGTAGTGAAATCTGCAGATAGAATTCTTTCTACTTACTATTTAAACATGCCCTTTCTTGAATTTCGTGGTGAGAATCACAGGGAATATCTCTAGAGGTATTAACCACTTACTGACCAATTACTGGACACAAAAGGAATGATGTAAATGGGATTACATTTCAAGAAAGGCATTCACAATGCCCGGTGATTGAATTTATAACAGATCATTTAATTCAAAATTAGTTTTTATTTTATGTTTTGTCCCTTCAGCCTTACTACCAATGGATAATTCATTTAGAATAGACTTCTTATTCTATTTTCTCTGTCTGCATTTTCTTTCTTCAAAATAAAATTCAGAAATGCCAATATCAGTACTCAGGGTGGGTAAATCTAAGAGTAACAAAAGGTGCAGATATTTAGTAGGGTGATACTGGGTACAGCCAGTGAGACTCAAAGAATGAATTCCCAGCAGTGACCCAATCTGATGCATCACTATCTTGGGAGACAGCAAGGGAGACTTGTTTAGACAAGAGCCATGGCTGACAACTTGTATGGCATTCCTAGTGAACATGGATGGTTTATATTCTCAGTGGTGGTAGTGCAAGCAGCAGAGCCTTAATCAGACTAAAGCTCTTATCATCATGCCTTCAGTGGGTACCAATGACAAGACTGATATGCTTGATGTTGAGGTCAGTGAAGATATCATCCCAGTAAGCCAAAGAAAGTATAGAGGAAGAGCTGAAGCACTGTGACAATGAAGACAGGATGGTAACGAAAGACACCTACTTGGATCATCAGTTGATGAGGTTTTGGGTGTGGGGTGGGAAGTTATTTTCCTGAGAAAGCTGGTAGGAGTGATGATGGTATGTATACATTTTTTTGTTAAATGAAGTTAACACAGGCAACACATAGTTAAGACAGTGCTTCTGAGTATTAAAAATTACTTAATTTTGTTAATATGATGTATATTATAATAGATCTCTTTTTAAAAGTACCAGACTAAGGTCTTTGGTTGAATAAAATAGATAACATTTCTTGATTTTTTTTTGTTGTAAGCCTAGCCTTTAACAGGTAACCCATCTCTCTAGCTGTAGACATTGTATTTCTTGCTACAACATTATTTCTTATGACTATGGGATGAATTGTGTCTCCTAAGTTCATGTTATGAAATGCTAATCTCCACTGTGACTTACTTTTTTAAGATAGGACTCTCTTGAGGCAATTAAGGTTAAATGAGGACAAAGGGGCCAGGCTTTAATACAGTAGGAAACATGCTGGGCTAGCTCAGTTGGTAAAGCATGAGACTCTCAATCTCAGGTTCATGGGTTCAAACCCCATGTTGGGTGCCAATATATAGAATTAATAAAAAAAAAAAACAACTTTGGACCTAGAGACAGATACTGAGGTTCAAGCTGAAGGTCAAATAAGCAAAATAGCTAAGCTACCAGAGAGATCTTACCTCTACCAAGGCTGGGGAGATCCCATCCTCAATGTGGCTGGAGACTAATTTCCTAAGACTGAATGCTAGCCCTGAGACCCTGTTCCTGTCTTTCATATCATCTCTCTTGTGCTGGGATTAAAGACATGCACCACCCTGTCCAGCTCTATGGCTAACTAGTGTGGCTGCTGGGATTAAAGTTGTGTGCCACCACTACCTGGCCTCTATGACTGTGGCTAGCTTTGCAAAAGCTATCTGATCTCCAGGCAAGCTTTATTAGATCATAAGCAATGTATCACCACAATGAGATGAGAACTGGATACCAGGATTCTCACTTTTTCTGAGCACACAGGGAAAGGCCAGGTAAGGAGGCAGAAACAACAGTCAGGCAGAAACAAACCCTTAGAGAACCTTGGTATTAAAATTTGAAAACCCAGAGCTCAGAGTACATAAAATTCTATTGTTTAATCTACTGTGTCTGTGGTGTTCTAGGATGGCAACTGAAGCAGAGCAATAAATATGTACAAACAAATAACTGGTGCCTCACTTAATCTTCTTATATTTTCACTAATTAATTTACTTTATGTTTTTTTCTCTCTCTACCCTGATGGTAGAAAGAACACTTACTTATTCTTGTCAGATAAAACTTCTTAACTTTCTGGTGTAAAATGCACCGTTTAGGTACTTACTCACCCATGCATCCTGTTAGTTCAAGATGGTAGCTGGGTTAAGAGCAATTCATAATTCATAGGATACTGGGATTTGGAGTCCATCTGGTCTTCTTCTGATGGATCACACACTGTGGCTGCTGCTGTGTTCTGTCTGCAGCAGGGAATTTTATCTGCACCTTATACTGGGACTTAGTAATGCTTCTGTGGTAGATTTGAGTCTTACTGTGGCTATCCCTAGGGCTACTGGTCTTTTGGTTTTGTCTCCTTTTCCAGTTTTACAACTCATGTTCACACTTAAACCTCCCATGGATGACGGGAAATGAAGATTATCTCTGGTCCTCCCATCTGAGACTTTCCCTTCTGCCCCAATGTGAGACTATCCTTGATGTCATATTAAGTAAGAGCATTGCTACAAGCTGGGAGCCCCTTGCTTTTTTATCTACCAAAACTATGTAGATCTGTCTTCTTCCTTTAGTGTTTGTTTCAAAGGACCAGAGAAATGGGTTCACTTGTTTGCACTTCATCTTTTCCAGGCTGTGTCCACACAGACTCTAGTGACAAAAGCAGTCTTTCAGGTCAGGCTTCATCATTTCTAACTGTAAAGCTGGAATTTTGGAATTTAAAGGAAAACACTCATTAGAATGGTAGAGTCTGAAAATCAAAGGCTCTCATGTTTAGCCTAGGGGCCCACAAAAATAAGTCTATATTTTACAGCTCAATGCCTAGCAAGGATTTATTTGATCCAGGATGGTCTCACTTTCCCTAGAAGTATTAAATACTCCAAGAGTGATAGGAAAACAAGCAGTAATTAAGGGTTGAAAAGACAGCAGTGGGTTAATTACTTTCAGATATTCTCTGTTATGCTCACCCTTAGTAGATCTTTCCTCCTACCCACTCCTCTGTACACATCTCTGTCTGTCTTGGTATTCATATTTCCTAGAAAGGGAGCTGAGATCTCTCCAGATTCTGTTTGCTCTTGCTTTCTGTGTCCACAGAAGCTCAGTCACAAGTGCCTGTAGAGCCTTTGGAGGGAGCAGAAAGAAACGTGGAGAGCACTTTGATTGACAAGGCATCATTAAGTCATTTTGGCTAAGGACTAGAAGTGGTTGTTGACATGCTACCCATGCTACTCACTGGACTCCCAGCTTTGGTAACTGCTTTTCTAGTGCCTCGGAAAACCAAAAAGCTGCCTCAAACTTGGCTGAGCACACACACACACACACACACACACACACACACACACACACGAGAGAGAGAGAGAGAGAGAGAGAGAGAGAGAGAGAGAGAGAGAATACACTTGCCATAACTCTAACTTTGTGGTTGTATCTCTATTTGTGGATTGTCTTTGCAACCTGACTTCTGAGTAAACACTCGAGTAATTTCTTAAAAAATTATTTTCTCATAATTTCAAATACATGTATACAAGGTGTCTTAATATTATCTATCCTGACTCTTCCTTCCAACTCCCCTTGGGATTTCCCCCATTACATCTCCCTCCCAGCTTCATGTCCTCCAAGTTATTTTCTGAATCTAGTTTAGTGCTGCCTATGTGTCTATGGGTGTGGGGTCATCTACTGTTATACATGGAGTCTGCCACTGGCCATACTTTCAAAGAAAAGTGACCTTCCCCTCCAGCTGTCAACCGCACAGCCATTAGCTTCTCAGCTAGGGTTGGGGCCATAGCTACTCCTTCCCCGTGTGTTTAGCAATTTTATAGTAGTTTGATCTTGTTTAGGTCTTGAGCAGGTATCCACAGCTGATATGGGTTCTTACGTGCAAAAGCCGTGTTGTGTGGTATGTCCCAGTTTTTATGGTTCATCACTTCCCTAAAGTCTCTTTCCTCCCCATGATAATGGTTGGTTTAACTGCCTGCAACACTAAGCATCACCCTCCTTTTCAAGGAAGGACTTAGTCCTCAGCAGATTTAAATGCCAAGAAATGACTTTAGAGTTGCTTTTGGTCATCATTTTCTTCCTCATCTGGTCATTTCTGCACATCGTGTTTAGACAGATAAAGATATTGAACCTCCAAGTCTCCAACATGATTAACCTAGAATGTTGACTTCACACAGTGGGGATCCCTGGAAGGATTGTGCAGAGGAATCCCGTTAGTGCTCAATGCCATGTTCAGTCCTCCAGAAGGAGGAGGAAGGGGAGCGATGCATGTGAGTGGCAGCTCTCCTCTGATCTTTGCCTTCTAGTGTCATGTGAGTAAAGTGGTAGGACATTCTTCAGACTGTCAAAGAAGCCAATAGAACTGTGGAAAAGACTGATGGTGAGGAAAGGTCTTAGCTGGGGCAAAGAAGTCATAGAAATCTAGGACCTTTTGATGAGAGGCTTTGGATACCAGCAGGGTACCAAAAAGATGGACAAGGCCGTGGAGGAAAACCTGTGTTTGCTAAGAGCAGCTTAATCGAAGCAGGTGAGACAGAGGCCAATGGCCAAAGGCCAAGGAGATTAAGGTACCTCAGCTGCAAACCAGCAATGGTTGGAAGTTAGGAGGTTACACAAAACCCCTCTCTGTTGACCTGCTTACTCCTGGTAGATAGTGAGGCTTAGCATTAGCAGCAGAAACCTTAGAGATAAAGAATCCTGGGTCAGAAGTGGAAATGTGAGAAAGGCCAAGAAAATAATACTTTAACTTGCTTTTTTAAAAAAAAAATAGTAAGAATCATTGAAAACAAATTGAATGTATAGCAATGTGATAAAATTATCTCCTGCTGCGGACAGATTAGCAGCTTACCCATGCAGATGAATTCACTAACAAAAAGTTAACTTACTACTTAAAAATAAACCTCATTTTTATACGCGTTTAATATGTTAATCAATGCTGTGAAGAACCTAGGTTCAGAAGGTTGAAATAATTTGCCCAAGGTAACAGTTAATAGTAAGTGAAACCACAACTTGAAATATTAATGTATTGGATATAAAAGTAAGATTCTAACTACCATGTCTAAGTGTTACTTTTTGCTTTGTGTATATATGTATATTATACATGTTTGTGTGTGGATGGCTACATAGGAACATGTGTGTGCAAGGATATTAAGGTTAAAGTTGACATTGGGAATTTTCCTAAATTACTCTTTCGTGTGTTGATTCAGTCTTCCTCTCTCAATGGAACCCAGAGCATGTTTGCCAGCTTACTGCAGAGATACCCTCTCTCCATCTCCTGCATGTTGGAATTCCGGTGGCCCCATCCATCCAAAATTTCCGTGAGTTCTTCTTATTCAAACTCTAGCCCTCATATTTATGTGCAAGTGCTTTATTTTCCTGAGCCGTCTTTCCAGGACTCATGTGTTATGCTTATATTAGTAGTAATTTTCCTCTGTACTGTTTTTAACTCATAGAAATGTGGATTCAACAATGAGAGTTGTAACTATATCCTATTGCAAATGTTCTCTTTTTCCTGTTCTGATTCTGCAACTTCTTTGATATTGGTCATTTTATTTTATTGGTCCTCCATGCTTCTTTTCCTTTACACTGAGCCCCAGTGTTGATGATCACTTCTTCCCAGGATTTCCTTTGTCAATAACTACCTGTTTGCTCTTCAGGATAAAAGTTGCATCCTCTTGAGAAACCTAACCTAGCTTTTCCCCATGCTCAGAAGGATGAGCTTGAAGAAAACACTGCTCCTGGAGTTGGAAGACTACAGATTAAGAGTTCATTGTGTCTGAGAGGTCCAGAATTGGGTTTAAGATGAATGGATTCATCAGCTTCCACAGAAGTAGATTTACTTGGCGAGTTTCCACTAAAATGGGTTTTGAAAATGTCAGATGGAACTAAAAGATTGGAGACATATGGTGCATTAACTAAATGTTTAAACATTTGCCTTTAGCTGCATGAACATATCATTGATGAGATGAGCTCAGTGAGCTATGCTGAACATCTTTTGCAGAATCACTGTCCAGTAGAGAGCTCTATTTCTTGAATCGCTGTAATACAAACCATTCCCAGATGCTTACAACAGATACCAAATATGTGTTATAATTTCACTGCTGAATGAAAATGCACATAATAAGGAGAGGTGTAAATGAGAAAATGTGTCTGATGTGTCTGTAATTTCCATCATTACCTTTTATTTGATGTAGGCTCTACAGGAGAAGGGTGCAAAGAAGGGTTTTGTGAGTCAGGAAACAGTTAAGTCCCCGTGGTGCTACCACCCTCTCTACTGTCTTACAAAAAAAAAAAAAAAAAAAAAAAAAAAAAAAAAAAAAAAAAACCTTCATCCATTAATTATG